AGCAAAGGCAATGTCTGGCTTGGTGTGAGTGAGAAAATTGAGTTTACCCACAAGACATTTATAGAGGGGATCTGATATTGGTGTTCCAATGTCAAGTCTGAGCTGTAAGTTTGGCTTTAAAGGACATGAAGCTGAAGAATCAAGAGGGCAATTGAAGGTTTTAAGAAGGTCCAGAGTGAACTTTCTTTGGGTGATAATTAATCCTCTATTGGCAGCAAAAGCTTCTAATCCAAGAAAATAGCTTAAAGTACCCAAGTCTTTGATTTTAAACATCTGATCAAGATGAAGCTTTAATGTTGTAATTTCATCAAGGTCATTGCCAGTGATGAGAATGTCATCAACATAGACAACAAGGTGAATGACTGAGGAGTCCAGATGTTTAGTAAATAGAGAATAGTCATTCTTGGAAGAGGAATACCCTTTAGATCTCAAAACCATAGAATGTTTAGCATACCACTCCCTAGAAGCCTGTTTAAGGCCATAAAGAGACTTCTTTAATCTAGGGACCAATATGGGATCAGTAAGGTGCATGCTTAATGGAGGTTTCATGTATATCTCTTCATGTAGATATCCATGTAGGAATGCGTTGTTGACATCCAATTGAAAAATAGGCCACTGGTGTTTGACAGCTACAACCAAAAGGGTTCTGACTGTGGTCATTTTAACAATAGGAGAGAAAGTCTCATGATAATCATTGCCAACTTTTTGAGTGCATCCACAAATGACCAATCTGGCTTTTTGTCTTTCCAAAGAACCATCTGACTTAAATTTCAGCTTGTACACCTATTTGCTGGTTATGGGTCTCTTCCCTTTAGGCAAAGTGCATATCTCCCATGTCCCAGTGGATTCCAGGGCCTTAAATTCTAGATCCATGGCCTGTCTCCAAGCTGGATCAACACTAGCTTCCTCATAATTTCGTGGCTCCTGCATATGTGAAACAATGTGCAAAAATTGTTGGCTTGTTGGAGCTAGAGCTCCCGAACATATGTGTGAAGATGAAGGAATGGAAGTGACTGTATGAAGACAAAACTGACCAGAAAATATGGCACTGGAACACTGGGATGAAAACTGTGTGGGACTGACAAGCATAGTCGTGTAAATATGTGGGAGAATGATGAGATCTATTTGATCTTCTAAGAGGTTCTGGATGTTGAGTATTATTTGAGCTAATGATGGATTGAGTATGAAAATCTTTCAAAGAAGGTAAGGTTTGAGGTGAAGAATTAGAGTGATGGGAAGCTACTGGAAAGGGATGAAGGGAAGAATCTGGAAAGGGATCATTCAGATTATGAAGAGAAGGGAACAAAGAAGGTGAAGGAGAATGTTTGTGAAAAGGAAAAATGGACTCATGAAAGATGACATCCCTTGAAGTTTCAACCTTATGTGTGGTTAGATTATATACTTTGTAAGCCTTTTGTCCATATGGATACCCTTGGAAAACACAAGCAGTAGCCCTATCTTCCAACTTGTGTCTTCCTGCTTTGGGTGTAGAGGAATAACACAAACAACCAAACACCTTTAAGTGATCATACTGAGGTGCCTTTTCAAAAAAAAATTCATATGGGGTTCTGTTTTTCAGAAGTTTGGTTGGGAATCTATTAATAAGATAAGTGGCAGTAAGAACACATTCCCCCCAGAATTTGAGTTGTAAGTTGGATTGTATGAATAATGCTCTAGAAGTTTCCAAGAGATGTTTGTGTTTTCTTTCCACAATTCTATTCTGTTGAGGGGTATCCCTAACACTGGTTTGATGGAGGATTCCTTTAGAGAGGAAAAATTTAGACATGAATGTACATGTTTTTGCCTAATTCTAGAGCATTATCAAATCTGATTGTTTTAATTGACTTTCCAAACTGGGTAGAGACCATGACAATGAAAGTCATGATGTCTGGGGCATTACTTTTGGCAGATAAGAGATATGTCCAGGTGGCTCTGGAAAAATCATCCACGATGGTTAAGAAATACTGAAAACCATTGTAGGTCTTGGTGTGATAGGGTCCCCATAAATCCAAATGAATAAGGTGAAAGATATGGTCGAAATGAGTAAGTCTATGGGGAAAAGGCAACCTATGTTGTCTAGCTCTAAGACAAACATCACAAGAGGACAAATGATTCACACTTTCATCATTAAAAGAACAGATATATTTCAGTTTGTAAGGAGGTAAGTGGCCAAGTCTCATATGCCAAACAGTTACATTTGAAACCTTACAAGATTTATTATAACAAGAACTGTTATGAGTATTATCAACAGGAGAAGGAAAAACATCAAAATGATCAGTGTGAGAGATCTGAGATGCTTGAGAAGAATGAAGAGACTTGGTTATGTAGAGACCGTCATGTTTTTCACCAAGATCCACTGGCCTCCTCTTGGAAAGGCCCTGCAAAATGCATTTGTTTGGTGTAAAACAGTGAGTCCCAACTGACTACATAATTTGCCAACTGACAAGAGATTGGTACACCAAAAGTGTACCCAAATGTACATTACTCCCTCCAATGCCACATATATTGGCAAATAAATTAAACAAGAAATAAATAAATAAAAATGAGTGGTAGAAAAATAATGGGTGGTGTACATTTGGGATACAGTTTTGGTATACCCCTAGCATCGCTCTTGACAAAATATGCACATCTCACCAACCAAATAGGGTCTCCATCCAAAGTGATATTATTGGAGTATATTTATTATTCGTTTATACTTCCTCCGTTCTAGTATATTTGTCCAATTTGATTTTTTCGAGTCAAACTGGACAAACTTTGAGCTCCAATTCAATAAAAACTATAATGTATTTTAACATAAAAATGACTTTATTGGATTTATCGTATTGAGAACTTTCGAAATTGTATTTCATTATGCTAATATGCAATATAAATTGAGAGTAATTGAAGTTTAAAGTTGGGAGAAAGACCAAACTAGGACTAAAACATTGAAGATATACCAAAATAGGACTTCCATGTTTTTATTCCCGAAATAGGACTTACATCACCAAACATGGTCATATACATTACCAAAAAAGTATAGTAATTTGCAAATGTACACTGCCACATTACACAATGTAAAGTCACATTACCACAGTGCAAAGTCTTAATCCGGGAAAAAAACATGAAAGTCATATTTTGGTACTTTTATCTATGTTTTAGTCCTATTTAAGATGATTTCTATTCAAAGTTTGTCCAGTTTGACTCGAAGAAGTCAAAGTAGACAAATACAATAGGACGGAGTTAGTATGTACTATTATTTGAGTTTGGTAATCAGGTATTGGGCCTCGTATATTCTTATATATACTCAGTTTGTGATTAATGTAAGCAAGTAATTCAATTGTAAAATTCTACATGATATCAGAGCAATCCTCAGACTCCTTACAAAAACCCTAGGTATGCCAGTCTGCTACAATACTGCAGTCGTACAACTTGGAGCAATGTCACCTACGTGTAGCCACTACTACAAAAGAGTCAAATTAACTATCCCATTTACATCAGTTTTAGACAAAACCGATACAAATGAGGTTTAGTGTTGAGTGTTTGTCACTCAAATCCTTTATTGTTGAGGCTCTTGTAAATCAAGGTCTCAATCAGTTATCGGTTTTTCAAGCAACTTAATAAGCTTAAAAAATAGAGAAAATATAAACATAAAAACAAATAAAAAGTTATCCCAAAATTGTAAAACTACATTTAAAGATATAAATTATTTTGAAACAAAAAAATAATAAAATATTGAATAAATCTAGAGGTACATCAAAATGAGGTACTTCATTCATACACCAGGCAAACAGAGACACTTAGTGTCTGATCACAGGCACTAAGTCTCTGTGTTTTCCTAGTGTACAAATGGTACCACATTTTGGTATATCCTAGTATGACTTTAAAATAATTTAATTTACCCCTCCCTCCTAAAACTATTTTTCCAGTTACTATTCATATGATCAAACTTAAATCACTTTCTTTACCTATTTTTGTTAGTTATTTGATAAAATAATACTCCCTCCGTCCACAAATAAACTTTACGTGCACTATTCATAGGGTCAAACTTTATTCACTTTGTTGGCCTATTTTCGTCACCCATTTGATAAAATAATATAGTCATGTCACTTCTAGTTTTGTAGATCTTTTGATATAGTTTTTTTAATATGTAATTTTTATTTTTCAATTCTACACCATTTTTCATATATAATAATTTGAAAATAACTTCAGTCAAACATCGTAACGCGTAATGTAAAGTTTATTTGTGGACGGAGGGAGTATCAACTTGTCATCTCTTTTTTGCAGAACTTTGTAGTTTTTAAATATATAAGTTTTACTTTTTAATTTTATATCTACAATTAAATAAATTAAATTAAAAATAAAACCGATCAAACATTGTAAACACAAAACAGAAACAGAAAGATAGTTTTAGGACAGAGGTAGTAATTGGAGTTTGGATCATTGATCATGGATATTAAACGGAAAATACTAGTGGTACACCAAAAGTGTACCCCAAACATCCCCACCCTCTCCATCACCACAAAAAAAAACAAGAAAAATTCAAAAAAAAAAAAAATAAAAAATAAAAACAAAATTAAATGAATGGTAAAGAGAGGGGTGATGTACATTTGGGTCACTATATTAAACTGATCAACCGGTTAGCCAAATATTGAATTTTTAGAAGATTGACCATTAGTAGGGAGGGAGGTACATGGAAGTGCAGGAAGCGGGAGTTATATTCCTCTTCCCTCGGCAAAAGGCGGCGGCAGGTCTGAAGCAGCTCCGCCGCGGCGAAGAGCTTTCAAGCGACGGCACGTCCGCAGCAGGCCATTCCCGACGGCGGCGGCGGCTGGGTAGAGCGGTTGGGCTAAGCATGTGTGCCGCCCCTTTCATTATTGTTACTGCCAAATGCTTCAGTCAACCATCAAATTCATCCTAAAACACCAATTCTCTCTCTCCGTTATCTTCCGTAGAAACTCGGCCTCAGCTGCCGCAGCCCTTGGCTTTGCATACGAGGATTCATCAGTACACACCTCCAGCGGGAATAATGAAACTGTCCAAAAATTAGTCTCTCTTTTTAGCGGCCTCTGCGCGAAGGGATACTCCTTCGAGAAATTATGCGGCGACCCTAGATTTGGAGGCCTGCTATCGATGGTGAATTCTTCTGAAGTGGAGAATGTTGTTCAATTGCTAAGGCTCAAGAAGCCGCAGTTGGCTGTCGACTTCTTCTTCTTGGCGAAGGAGCGTGGATTCAAGCAAACTGCTTTTTGTCACCTCATTGTGGCTCATGTTTTGGCGGGAAAGCAGCAACTAGTGGAATTGAGTTCCCTCTTACAGGGAATGGTTAAAGAAGAAGGTACGGAGTTGTGCTTGAATTTCATTTTTAGGGATTTTTTATTTTTTTTGGAATTTCGAAATTTTATTTGGTTAGAACTTCATGACTTTCGCAAAGTTATAGCATTCAGAATCTGATGAAGGGGAGGAACTATTTAGTTGCTCTTTATAATGAATTCTGATGAATGCTTGGAAATGAGCATAACACGGTGATGATGAAATTAAGTTAGTAGTGAGCCCTTTAATCTATTTTGATGTGGGCACTAGACTTTGTACTTTCATCAAGTCTGAATCCCTTTGTTCTTTGAATATTTTGAATTTTTGGGTGAACATTCCAAACTCTGAATGCTGTTTTTAATTCATCTGCTACCCAAATTTGTATTAAAAGCAAGTTTCTATAACTTATAAAAATTGAAAATGAACTAATATTGAATGAAATACGTGTTCATGTTTTTTTAATGATGCACATCAGGCCCTGATTCTGCATATGCGCTTTGTGATCTGCTTCAGAATAACTTCGAAAACTGCATATCTTGTAATGTAGTATGGAATATGTTGGCCTTTTCTTATTTGAAAGCTGATATGGTTGTTGGTGCACTCCGAGTTTTATCCAAGATGAAAGATTTGAATGTTGACGTTTCAATAATGACATACAATAATTTGTTGCACAGTTTGAGGCACACTAACTCTCTGTGGCATGTCTACAATGAAATAAGAGACTCTGGGGCTTCTTTTAGTGAATATACGAATTCCATCCTTATTGATGGTCTATGTAGGCAGTCCATGCTGCAAGAAGCAATTGCATTTCTGCAAGATAGGAGAGAGCGAGACTTTGTTACTTCTGTGGCTTGCTTCAATTCTATCATGTCAGCATTCTGTAAAATGGGTCTTGTGAATGTTGCAACATCATTTATTTCTATGATGTTTAAGTGTGGGATACTGCCTGATGTGTATAGTTACAATATTGTTATTCATGGTTTATGCATGACCGGCTCTATAACAGAAGCATCCAGGCTTGTTAACGACATGGAAGCACATGGGTTGAAGCCTGATCTGGTTACCTATAACATCCTTTCCAAAGGGTTTTGTTTTCTTGGTATGATGAGCGAGTGTTCAGAAATATTTAATCAAATGCTGCAGAAAGGCATGCACCCTGATATTGTAAGTTACACAACATTAATTTCTGGACATTGTCAAATAGGAAATGTCAATGAAGCATTTAAGTTGATGAAGGAGATGCATACACAAGGGATTCATATTCCTGAGATCACATACAGCATGTTACTTAACAGGTTGTGTAAGAATGGACTCATGGTTGATGCTCTAAACCTGTTTCAGGATATAGAAGCTGGTGGTGTAAAACCTGATGTTGTCATGTATTCCGTTCTCATTCAAGGGTTGTGTAAGCAAGGTCGGATTCGCAATGCTCTGCAATTGTATAGAAGATTGTGCTCGAAGAGAATCATTCCGAATTCTTTTATACACAGACCTATTTTGTCTGGCCTATGTGAGTACAGATCACCAAAAGCTGCAAGAAAATATTTTGATGAGCTGGCAAAGAATGGCTTGATGGATGATATTGTTTTGTGTAATATCATGATCAATAGATATGTTAAGTGCTGTGACTTAAAAGAAGTTCGCTGGCTATACAGATTTACATTGGAGAGAGGAATCACACCAAGCACTGTCACATTTAATTCTCTCATACACGGACTCTGTAATGCCAGAGAGCTAGTAAAGGCGCGAAAGCTGATTGATGACATGTATACATGTGGTTTTGTGCCAACTGTTGAAACTTTTACGACTCTTATCACAGCATATGCTGAAGAGAGAAATATGGAAGCGGTTTTTGAAATGCTCTGCGAAATGGAGAAAATAGGCATACAACCCAATTGTGTTACTTACACAGTGATTATAAAATTCTTCTGTAAATATGGTAGGCTTCTTGAATCTCTTCAAATATTTAAGGATATGTTTGCCAAGGGCCTTTCACCTGATGAACTCTCTTTCAACACTGTCATATGTGGGTTTTCTCAAGCTGGAGATATGAGGATTGCCTTTTGTTTATACAATGAGATGTTAAGGAATAATGTTCAACCTAATCATGTAACTTACAACATGCTAATTACTGGTCTGTGCATATTTTTGGATATAAGGGTTGCTGATATGTTTTTCTCTTTCCTTCAAGATCAGAATATAAGTTTATCAAAGCAAGCCTACACCACTCTTGTAAAAGCACATTCTATAAAGGGTGATGCAAAGAGAGCAATAGATCTATTCCAGCTAATGATAGAAAAGGGATATAAAGTGTCTATTAGAGATTACAGTGCTGTTATTAATAGGCTGTGTAAACGCTATTTGATGCAAGACGCATTATATTTTTTTCGTATGATGCTCTCAAGTGACATCACTGCTGACAAAACAATTATTTCAGTCATACACAATGCTTTGCGTAGTAGAAATGACCCTGAGTCCATGCATCAGTTTTGTTGTTTGGTGAGCAAATATGGCTTAGATCATAGATAAATTCTAGAGCATACAGAAGTATGAACAATTTTGCCCTCACCATTGGGAAACTTCTTGATGGAGAATATTCGAGTTCTCTCACCATATTGCTATTTTCTGCCACGAGGTAAAAATCTTCCCAGTAGCTAGGTGCACACAAACACGATTTATTGTGATTCTTAAAAAAAAATTGGCTTTTTTAATTGTCAGCTTCATATTTTTGTCTTTGCAGATTTTGCAAGGTGTGCCAGCTGAATTGGGACGACAAAAACTTGTATGCTGTTTACTCTTGCTTCATCCGAGTCCTTCAAAAGCAAATTTTTACTATCTCTGTCCCTTAATAAAAATCACATTTCGGTTTACAATTTGTGACTGAAGTTATTTTCAATTCATTTTATTTAATTATTTGTGTAAAATTTCAAAAATAAAATATGTTTTTAATAACTACATCAAAAGTTATACTCCCTCCATCCCTAAAAGATCTTTCTTTGGTCAATTTTTACAAACTTTGACTACAAATTGTAAAAAAAAACATTTAGTTACTCCTGTCTGGAAATGATATTCCCAAATCACATCTTTGACCGTTTAAAAATCATCTTCCCATTACCTTTTTTAACATTTGAAATACCATAACTACCTTCACTCTCCTCATTTATTACATCCCACCCATCTCATTTAATACTCCACACTTTCATTAAGGGTAAAATGGAAATATACATTGTTTTTTCAACTCCCCTTAAAAAGCATGAAAAGTCAATTTGGGAAATTATTTTCCGAATGGAGGGTCTATAATGTGAATTTAGTATAATTAGGTTTATTTTTTGAAATGTAGTTTTTATATATACTCCTTCCGTCCTAAAATGATATTCCCAATTACTATTCACGCGGTCAAACTTTAATCACTTTCTTTACTTATTTTCGTTAGTTGTTTGATAAAATATTATAGTCATGTCACCTCTTGTTTTGTAGAATTTTTGATGTAGTTTTAAAATATAATTTTTATTTTTAGATTTTATGCCTATAATCAAATAAATTGAATTGAAAATAATTTCAGTGAAACATTGTAAACCAAAATGGAAAGATCATTTTAGGACGGATGGAGTATGAATTTTGAATTTTTATGACATTTATTTATTTAAAATTATATTTATTAATGGTCAAAGTGGTGACAAGACTAGTATATTTAACAGATGGTTGAAATAAATAAGTGAGGAAAGATCATATATTTTGACCATGTGAATGGTGACTGTTGACTCTGAAGTATTTAACTGCAGCAACCTATTAAGGTAAAATTGTACAGCAAAACATGCACGCTTTATTGCTTTTTCTTTTATTATTATAGATTTATTTTTTAAAGATTTTTTGTTGACTTGTTTTCGATATTTTAGGTGAATAGATGTTATATTTCAGAATCCACTTTCATCTATTATTAGATTACTCCCTTTGTCCCACAATAAGGTATCTGTTTCGGTTTGTCATGTTCGAATGAATTTATTTTCAACTCAATAAATTTAAAAGTTGGTATGGAAATAAAAATAAAAACTCTATATTTAAAAACTACATCAACAACAACAACAACCCAGTTAAATCCCACAAGAGTAGGGTCTGGGGAGGGTGTGTGTACGCAGACTTTACCCCTACTCGAAAGTAGAGAGGCTGTTTCCAAAGAGACCCCTCGGCTCAACGTCGAAAGTTGCATTGCTTGACTAACTGCTACTTCATTAATTAAAGAAGCGCAGACAGTTTAGAGATCCATTTTGATTTATTCCATCACACCCCAAAGCCAAAAAATGGTGAAATTTTGGCTCCATCGGAGATGATGGAAAGTTAAAAACTACATCAAATGTTCTACAAAATAAAAACAGTGACTTAAATGTTTTATGTTATTCAGTGTTCAATGCAAGTGTGTATAGAAAAATGATGTACTTTCAAATGTGAATAGCATATGAGAACCTTATTTTTCCGCAGAGGTAGTATTAGTTATTAATATTCTAATGTCAGTGTGTAGGTTGTTAAGCTTTTGCTTTGGATTCTGAGCATATTTATCATATGGAGCTCACTCACACCAGTGACTTTCTCTTTCTACATGCCTTTTTATTATTATCTTTTACCGGCAATAGGTGGCCATGATGTCTAGGTGTTTCATGTTTGAGCACACATTATTGCATCTATGTATCACCAAGGGAATGACAGTCAACATACAGAGTATCATTTTTGTTTAATTACAATTTAATGGGAAAATGACATATTTCATCCTAGGGATTGCGTTGCATTGAAATATTTCTGAGTTTATCTAATACGGAGTATGGTTTTTAGTAATTGTTGTTTGAAGGTGGGTATTAACTTGCTTCTTACATTTTACCTTTAACCTTGAGATTGACTTGATAGTATTGACCATGTGTTGTGAATGGCTTCCATACATGTATAAAATCATCATCTTTGCACTTCATCTAGAAATTAGATTGTCTTTAGGTTAATCAATAATGTGATGACTTGTAATATTATGACAGTGTGATTCTATTAACGCAACATTTACATGCATAAAATTGTAGAATGTACTTTCTTACTAATTCCTTTGTTTCCTAGATGTTTGTATATATGTGTGTGTTGTCATGTTGCTCTATCATCGTACTTAAAAGATCATTATATAATCGTGGGTTGTTTCTAGGTGAAAAAATATGGCTATCCATGCTTAAGTTTCGCTTTCTTTTCTTAGAATGTGCGTGTCGATGCTGACTGAGGACATGCTTTGTTTCTAATGTTTCCTTCTTGCCCATTATAGTTCATTTCTCCATCAAATCCATGAATGTGAAATATTTTATTGCTTTCGAATTTGTTTCTGCTTCTAGTTACCTAATACAGTACGATTCAAGAATTGTTTTGGAACATAAATTAATTTTGGTTTGAATTTTAAACTGCTCCAAAACCACATCCCCCCCCCCCTTCCCTCCTTCCCTGCGGGTGTATGTGTGTTTTCCGCTAGCCTGTGTGGAACTCCAACCGCTGGGAGTTTCACAATCATCCTAATGAAGAAAGCTCTTCACAATTATCATAACTGAAAAATGATCTTGGAGGGTAGTACTGAGTTGGAGTAGATATTGATGTTTCAATCTTTGAATCTCTTATAATTTCTTTTCCTTTTTGTTCTTTTTTAATTGCAGATTGCAACTCCAGTTTAGTCGGCATCAATATGATCTGAGTGTTGGGATAATGGTCCAAGCATATGAACCAGACCAACACCATTAAACAATCGACGGTCTCTCCTTGGACCCAACATCAGCCCAAAGAATCAGTCAGGTCCAATCAATCCAACCCTATTTGCAGCTGATCCGAGCATCCCAATGAATCAGTCAAGTCCAATCCAAGCCTATTGGCTGCTGACCCGAGCATCCCAATGATCATGAAGGCACAAAGAATCTTTCCCCGTCCCAAAGAAACAGACTAAATGGTCGGCAATATCACAAGCGGATAATTGTCCAGGTCGTACCATGTGTCGGGAAATTGTGCCTGCATTTGTTAGATGTTTGTTCGTTCAAGCATGTAATCACAAGCCACGAAACGTTTGTGTTTGGTCTATAAATATGGTTTTCCACTGAAGAAGGGACCATTTATCTTGTTATTTTATTGCTTGTAGCCTAAACAAAATGCTGCCTCTTCCCTAATCGAGCTAAAAGGCTGCCTTGCATTCAGTTTAAAACACTTAGATGGTTGTATATCAATTTCCTTCCCCACATTATTTGTTGTTTTATGGTAGACTATTGCAACCAGCAAATTATCGCTATATTTGGTTCAAGCAATTTGAAAGAAAAAAGAAATGAAAATGGTATGAAAATAATTTTTTTTGTTTGATTAATGAGGAAAGGAAAAGGAAAGTGGAAAGATAAGAAAAAATAGAAGAAAATAGGATATGATGAGAAAAAAACAAATTATTTCTATTTTGATGAGGACAAGGACTGGTTTTTTCTGTTTCACTTTTTTTTCCATTTTATTGCTTATTTTTCTTAAAATAAGATCAGATTAAATCAGATCAGAAATAGCTTTGAACATAATTACAACTAGACCAGACCAAATCTTTAAAAAATTGGATCAGACGTATAGAATGTTGTCAGAAAGTTTTTTCTTTTTCTTTCCAATCTTAATTCTTTGAGCCAAACATAATATACAAAACCATCACTTAAAGTTAGGTGCTCAATTACATTAACTCAAGTGTCAAACACCTCAAACGTATGTGCAATGCAAGTCCCATTTCATCTTCTCGTTCGCAAGTAAGTAGAGCTAACGTTTGGTCCCATAGCATTAGATGAAAACAAAAAAAAATGTGACCAATCGCTCAATGTTGGGACTGTCCCAACTCATTCCATCTCCCTTTTTTATTTATTCAAATAGATGGGACTCTAAAATGGGACTTTGCAATGAAGGGAATTCTACTTTTTTTTTTATAATTCTACATGAAAAATTTAACATTATTTCTAATAAAACTTAGGACTCACCATTGGACATGCTCTAGCCTTCACTTAAGGCAAACCCCAAATTAAAGGGGGATTAAGGAATTACAAAATTGAATAAAAACGATAAAAGATGAGAGAAAAGTAGAGAGAGAAATTAGTATTGGGAGAGAGAGATTCCATATACTCATTCCGTCCCAAAAAGTTGGTTACGTTTAGAAAAAAACTGCGTCCCGTAAAGTCTGTTACATTTCTATTAAAAAACCACTTTTACTCCTTACTTTTTCATACCCTACCTATCACATCATACCTTTTTTCTAATAATCTACTCATCACATCCTACTTTTACCCATCACATCAAGGGTATTTTTGGAAAGTCAATACCAAAATATCTCTCCCTTAATTTCCCAAAAAGTCAAACCGTCCCATTCTTTTTGGGACGAAGGGAGTACAAGATCGCCCGGAGTGAGCTCCCGTTCTACTTTTTTTTCCCCATATCATTTGCCTAACGAACACATATCATCTCAGTATCTCGAGGTATATATGGCTCCCACCAGCTCAACTCCCAGCCTTGCTGATTGGCGTCTCGTTGGTTGTCCCAAAACTTTGTGGAACTCTTGACATGCATACTTTAATTTACACCTCTTGACAAAAAAAAGTACTCCCTCCGTCTCTACCCGTTTCATTTTTTGCGCATCCCACAAAACACTTGTGCCCATATCTTGAATGCCTAAAATCTACCACATTTACCCTTTAATTTATTGTGGTTGGAAGTTGTTTTAAAAGTTTTCTTGGCATTTAAGACGAGATAAAAGTGTTTTATGAGATGCGCAAAAAATGAAATGAGTAAATCTTTTTGGGACGGAGGGAGTATAATTTAGTGTATTAATATGTAACACAAATTTTTGGGACGGAGGGAGTATAATGTACTCCCTCCGTTTCTTAAAACCCTTCATCTTTCATTTTTTTTTGTTTTTCTTAAAACACTTTTTTTTTCTATTAAAATATCACTTTTACCCATACTTTTTCATACCCTACCTATCACATCATACTTTTTCACTAATAACTAAACTATCACATCTTACTTTACCCATCACATCAGGGGCAAAATTGGAAAGTCAACTAAAATTACACTTTTCTTATTTTTCCCCAAAGTCAAAACAGGAACCATTTTGAAAAACGGAGGGAGTACCTAACTATTAAAATTCATTCAGTTTAACTTGAAAAAAAATAAAAATAGACTAAATATTCTTCGGTAAATCATTAAAATGCATGTATTTGGGCATTAAAGGCTTGTCTAATAAAAACAGACCTATTTACTCCGCATTAAACAAAATTTGTTGTTAGTTCAAGACTTGAAGTAGTGAATATGAGCCTTGATTTTTTGTCCAAATCCACATAAAATATATATATGATGGAGCTTAGACGAGAACGTGAGATCATATCGTATCCGAGTACGGAAGGGGCCGGTAGGAGAGGGGACACACCCATGCATGCACTTAACTACTCCGTATATGCCAAACCCGTTTTTGTGGCATTCATCATTTTGATATGGGCCATATATATATCCTACGGGTATATTAAAAGACTGTACCTCATTTATACATACACCAAGACAAACATAATAAATATTCTCTGTTACTCACTCTGTTTCTGATATCTCTGTGTTGGTCTGATATACAAATAAATATGATACATATTGTACTCCTAATTCTATTGTTTTGACATGTAATGTACTTCATCAATCTGTGATCAAAATCTATTTTATCTTTTTTTTCATTGATGATCACGTCTGATAGATTTTCGGAGATGGGGTTATCCTTTTTTTCTTCTTTTTTTTCTTTTTGATAAATAGGTAGTATACTCCATGAAATATGCATGCAATGCATGTTTTTCAATTATGTGGGACGGTTGGGTTAGTTACACCGCAAATATAACCTGGACCGCCGTGCCCGGCTGCCCGCGCACACAACTACCCCACCAATATTATTTAAACATCCAATTTAATTAAATTAATGAAATACTTGAATTTGGCGTAATCTTCCGAGCCTCGAACGGTCCAAATCTTTTGGTTGATTCACAAGTCACTATGGCCGGGAAACTTCTCGTTTATATTATTCACAATGTAGAAATTCTTGTTGATTGTAACTTTCACCCAACTATAGGCTTGGCATTGAATATAAGAGTGACTAATATTCAATTAGAAATTGACCATTTAGTATCCCAATGCAGTTGTCCTTTTCCCGTCCAAATATCTATCGTGGTATCAGAGTTAGTTAATTTTAGCCCATATCATCTTTCAAGATGTCCCTCTAGTCGTTCATTTAACTTCTAGCGGCTCTAGTCTTTAGCCCATGGAACGTATACCCAACGGGCTGTGGCCCGTTTAACTCGATTGCTCGTCTAGAAGTCCATACCCAGCGACTCGTGGTCCTTTAAGTGTCAGCACCCAAAAAATATATATTAATCAGAGGAATGAGAATTCATTTGCAAGTGAACCGGTTAGATTCAAAATAATTTGGTTGTCTCCTTTCATTGTAGGTGATAACCGAGAAAGACACGTGGGGTAGATTGAGGTTGGAGTTTGTGGTGGGTGTGAGGCCGAAGCCATGGATACACAAGATCGACAATGTGAACGTAATTCGGAGGACTACCATACACTGCATCAAAAGGAAATTTGTTGTCCAGAAATCTAGTCGGTAAACGGTTGATGACATAATTAGCAGTAGTTAGAGCATCAACCCAAAACAACGTGGGCAGTTGAGAGTCGTAGAGCAAGGCAATGACAATCTCAATGAGATGGCGGTGTTTAGATTCTGTGACCCCATTATGCTCAGGGGTATGGAAAGAGGTGTGATGGAGGATTCCGAGGTTCTGAAGAAAAAGGCCAAATGACGTGTTAACAAATTCTTTTCCATTATCGCTTTGAAAAATCTGAATGTGTGAGTTAAACCAAGTTTTAATTATTTTCTCAAAGCTGACAAAGACTAAGAATGCCTCAAACTTGTGGGTAAACCTAAGTGAATCTGTTAAAATTATCAATAAAGGTAATATACAATCAAAAGCCACAAATAGATGTGATAGAGGTCGATCCACAAACTTCAGAATGGATTAATTAGAATGACGCATTTGGCTTATGTTTAGACAATTCAAATGGTAAACGACAACACTTGGATACATAACATGACTCACAATGTCGTAATGGATCAATGAATTTAAATCTTAAGGATGACAAGACAGATTTGGCAATAGCATGAGCCAGATGACCAAGTCTGTGATAGGATGCCACATAGAAGCTGTAACAGCTTAATGAATTGACACTCAACAGACATGGGCTTGGAAGGAAGGGTGTACAATCCATGCTCACAGGGCCCGTGTATCGCACCTGATTCATGAAATTTTCTACTATCTAAAAGTTATTAGAATTAAAAACAAGGGTGCAGTTATTATCTTTGGTAAAAGCGGTGAACATAAAGAAAATTAGAGGTAAGAGAAGGAACATGATTAAGGGATGGGAGGTGATATTTACAATAGGGTGTATGGATATAGCACGAGCCAATGTATTATAGGTAAGTTATGATCATTACCTACATTGATGGTTTTAGTACCGTGATATGAGTGGGAGATTGTAGCTGTCAGAGATCATGCATAACATGGGCGTTGGCACCTGTATTGTTAGAAAATGTCTTGAATTTGTATTCAAGACCTATTAGGATTACGACTAAAAATAAGATTAAGATTATCTTTCATATCCTCATCTTTATATATGTAGTAGGATTAGGATTACTCATATACCCTTCCCTATATATATAGCTTGTATTTGTACTCCTCAATTCATGGTAGAGAAAATATGTTATCTGGTGATAAAATACTGATCAATAAAATTGTTTTCTCATCATGTTTTCTATTCTTTCCTCAATCCACGTTAAATCTCTGTCTTTTTCGTGATTGTCGATTGTTTATGTTCATACTTTCTTGCATCTGTCATAACAAACTGGTATCAGAGTCTCAATGAGGCGATATTCACCCTAAGAGTGGCGATCTGGGCTGTATGGGGCAATCTGGGCCCAGGAAGGGCAATCTGAGTTTCATGAGAAGTCATTTGGGCATTAGGTAGGTGTTAACAAACTGGTATCAAAGCTTGGTCTGGAACCGTGCGGAAGGAGATCGATGGAAAGAGTTGTGCGGGTGAGAAATTGTCTCTTCATGCAGGTGAACAATCTGGGCTTCAAGAGGAGCCATTTGGATAGTAGGTTAGTGTCATTTGTTCCCGTTTAGGTTCAATGAAGAGTCATCTGGACTCAAGGTGGAGTTTGCATCTACTGGTGTTTTAGCTTGAGTTTTATGTCCCCATGCGTGAGGGAAATCTGTTTTGGTGTGTCACGACACTTTTGAACTCAAGTGAAGCAATCTGTTCCTTTCTTTTAGTGACATTTGTGTCTTTTGTTGGTCTTCTAGTACCTACGATACATCTGGTCACTTTACGAAGGAAATCTTGTACATCTGTTGTCTTTTGAGGAGATTCAAGACAAGGTGGAGATTTGTAACAAAATGTCTTGAATCTGTATTCTAGACCTATCGGGATTACGACTAGGAATTAGATTCGGATTATCTTTCATATTCTCATCTTTATATATGTAGTAGGATTAGGATTACCCATATCCCCTTCCCTATATATATAGCTTGTATTTGTACTCCTCAATTCATTGTAGAGAAAATCTATAATCTGGTGAGAAAATAGTGATTAATAAATTTTTTTTCTTCTGTTTGTAGATGTTACTAAAAGGTTTTTAATAAACCACGTTACATTAAATTTCTGTCTTTTTCGTGATTGTCGATTGTTCGTGTTCAAACTTTCTCGCGTCTGTCATAACATGTATCACGATACCAATCACCAAATTAACTAGTTATGGTGGCATGCATAACGTGGGATGTGCTGTCAAATTTATTCATAGCATAAGAATAATCAAAGCGGTACGAATAGACTACAAAAAGATTGACTTTTTGTGGCAATAAAGTTTTTGCCACAAATACATTTCTTACATCAAATTTTGTCACAAATACTTTTTGTACTGGGTTATTTGTGATAAATTCTAGAATATGCCACAATTACCTTATTACAAAAAGTCAAATTTTGTAGTGTAGGTAGCAGCAGAGAGGCCACCACGTTTGTCACAAATTTGACAAACAAGAAGATCAAGTGGAGGACCGCGACGCCTTCTACTTTCATTATTTCGACTGCCGCGAGGAAGACCATTCCCGAGTCCAGCATACGATCAAATGTGGCTACCTCCTCAACCTCGGCTTCGATTTCCTAAAGAAAAGAGAGCCATGTGTCTACTCTCATAAGCGGAATTAGCGAGGCTATATTTGTTTTCTATCTCAAGGTTGATTTCCTCAGAGGTGAGCCACCCAGAAAGCTGTCTGAGACTCATATTCTAGTTGTTCATGCAGATGTTCTGCTTAAAGGTAGAGTATTATGAAGGGAGACCGCGATTAACAACATTTACCACATCTCGTTTAGGGATATCTTCATTCAGGGCATCTAGATCTGTGAGAATTGTGGCAACTTCATTGAATTATTGAGTCATAGTTTTTGTATATTTTCGAAGCGTGTGAAGCTTGTCCCGAAGTTGGTTATAATTATGAGCGGTCGACATTAAATTATATCGGGCCCCTAGAACATCCTAGAGAGCTGTAGAAGTAGTAAAGCTCTGAGCATGTTTGTGAACAGTTGGGCTAATAACAGCAAGAAGGCACACATGAATTTGGGTGTTCATCATAGACCATGTAATGTACTCAGGATTAAGGTTTACCTCCCCATCCTTGGAGATTTTTTTGTGGCGCTTCCTTATAGCCATCGATCCACCTAAGAAGGTGATTAAAATCAAGAGCAGTCCTGACATTGAGAGACCATGCAGGGTAGTTTGAATCTGTGAGTTTTTCGGGAATGAGATTGTGGAAATTGCGAATCGGAGTAGAAGTTTCTCTCCGAAGAAAGAGAGGCAACGGGGTCGGATAGGAACGGAGGGAGTATCTGATGATCAAGGATCGTAAATTGAAATATGATTCTTTCTTTGGGATGGAATGGAAAGACTACTAAATTTATTTTTGTACGTCCAGGGCAAAAAGTTAAATTTCAAGACAAATTGGATGGAGTGTAGTAGTCTTCTATGATTCTATAAAAAGAAAAACAAAAATTAATGAGACACAAATGTGTGTTGAAATTGAACCATCACCTTGACACCTTCATTAATACGCCCAACTTCCTCTCCAATCACATTCCAAAAGAATGAGCCCATCCTCGAGGGCTCTCTCAGCCGGTAGTCATTGAGAAGAGGTAAATTAGACTTAGATTGCAGATTAGTGACAAATAGTAAAACCTTAACCTTGACATTTCTTGCCTTGCCAACTGCGCAACGCCAATCGACTCACCAATCACATTCCTATATAATTTGACCAATGCTTCTCCTTACAATCTTTGAAAAAGCAGATATAATATTATATTGTGATTTATTTTATTTCTAACTACTCTGTCGGTAAGAAACAACATTCAGTTATATATATATATATATTCATTTGGTTTCAGCACATACATAAACAAACACATAGATACATACATTCTTCTGTGAGGATGTCAGAATTGGGTGGTTCACCACCACCACCACCACCATATTTTTTGATGGAAGACTACGTGATAAAAACATTGGTGTGGAGTGTGATTTCATGGACGACGCTGTTCTTGATGAGCACAAAGCTTCTGCCCCGCCGCTCCTTCAACTTCTGCAACCGGACCGTTTCGGTGGTCCACGCCTCCTTGGCCGTCACGCTGGCTTCCCTCTCTGTTCGCGACTGGTCCTGCCCGGTTTGCCCCCTCGCCTCCATATCTACCCCTCACCAGGTTCGCCGCCTTTGTATACCGAGTACTACTCCCTCTGTTCTAAAATTAACTTCTCATTTGATTTTTCACGGTCTCCCATGCGACATTTTGACTATCAATATCTCAATTTTTTTAGAAATATATTTTATAAAAATTATATATTTCAAAACTATTGTTCAAAATGAATCTATTGCTAATAAATTTATATGAAAATTCAATGTATTTTTTCCGTAATATATGGTCAAAGTTTAAAAACTTTGACTACAAAAGTCAAACTGGGAAGTTAATTTTAGGACGGAGGGAGTAGTATTTTACAGTATTATTTTTTTTGGTAGATGTGCAATGTTTTATTCATTTCTTCCCATTTTAATTACTCTCTATGCCTCAAAATGACGGATTGTCTTCATTCGCAGCTACATCTTATCAAGTTTGATTGATATTCATACATTACTCCCTATATTGTAACGTTTTATGAGTGTTTTCCACATTTAATCTCTAGTTTTAAGATACGAAATATTGCATATATACATGGCCCTCATTTTTTAAAAATTATTTCATAAATAATCTATTAAACCGAAAAATGGTACTCCGTAATATTTTTTGCATATAGTCTACGAAGGACCGATTATAAATTTATTTTCAAAAATTTATCCCTACTTATGTGACATTTTAGAATTAAAGATTAAATATGGTAAATCACATGTAGTTAGAAACTCTTTATGAATTTATTCAAAAGTTCATCTTAAAATAAATTTGTCGACAATAATTTCATATTATATGGAGTAAATTTTTACAACTTATAAATAACTAAAAGTCAAGTAGTTACATTTAAAACTTGAGGCGAGAGGAGTATTTTTTTAAATTTGAGGAAAATACATTTTAATTGCAATAAATTTGTAACATTTAATTTGAGATGATAGGAGTATTTGAGTAGTCCAACTTAGAATAAATTTATATTTTCAAAAATAAAAATACAAAATATCTAGTTCAATTGTAAAAAAAAGATAATGCTATTTGTACCCCATATTGTATACCGCAGGAATGCACCAACATTTTATGCTGAGGCAATGTTAACTTTTGTTAACGCACCAATACTTTATGTCAGTGTGAACCATCAAAATGTTGGTGCGTAGCTTTGGTGTACAGATGAGGTATAAATTTTGGGGTACATGTAGCATGCTCCAAAAAAAAAACTTTGCACTTTTTTCTTTCTCAAAATGAACTTGAAACTTTGACTTCGTAAAATTTAAAGAAAAATATTATAAAAAAATTTAAAAAAACATGTCGAAATTTGTTTAAAATATGTGGTTGAAAATTTTTGGTCCGGCTTAAAGTTTGACATGGGACCTGTTCGGCGGGCAACAAATGCAGATGCGGATTTTAGCGATCACGGTGGGGTACATGATCTATGACTTGGGATGTTGCTTATCTCATAATCAGTTAAAGGCGGATGATTTGGCCCACCATTTGGTCAGCATTTTGGGGATTGGAGCCGGACTTGCCTATCGTAGGGTAAATTTAATAATCATAAAAATACTCCTTCCGTTCTCAAAAAAACTTCTTCTTTCATTTTTTCCACTTCCAACAAAACACTTCCCTTTTCTATTAAAAAACCATTTTTACCCTTACTTTTTCATACCCTACCTATCACATCATACTTTTTCTCTAATAATCTATCCATCACATCTTACTTTTACCCATCACATCATGGGCAAAATTGGAAATCAACTATAATTTAACACTTCCTTATTTTTGCCCCAATTCCAAATGGGAAGTGTTTTTCCAAACGGAGGGAGTACTATTTACCCACCACAGCTGCCTCCATGCTTGATAATCATGCACACACTGACCGTGCTACAGTGCCCCCATGCATGACATTACAGACAATTTTATACCTAAACAGACAATAATCATCAGTAAACAACGCAGACGATTATCGCATGTGCAGGTATAAAATCGTCTGAATTATCACTCGTGGGAGATTGAGTACTAGGTTTTTAGCATTATCCATTTTACTATTCCCTGTTTGGTGGTCACTAAATTATCAGTTCATCTCAATTTATTCACTGGGGTACATGAAATCATCAGTGTGGATCAGAAATGGTGGCAGCATTGTGGGTCACAGAAGCTTCTAGCCCTTTCCTCCACATGAGAGAGTTTCTCAAAGAGTTGGGATATAGAGACACCTACCTTAACCTTGCTGCAGATGTGTGTTCATTTCTTTGGCTTTTTTTTTACTCACATTTCAGAAAAGACTATGATATTTTGTCTGATTTATATATATTGTCCAAACAAAACCATGCCACTTTTTTTCTCAAAGTTTGAGTTTGGAATACATATTTTTTCCCCCCACAGATATGTTTCGCGGTCATTTTCTCTTTCGCGAGGATGATTGTAGGATCCTACCTTGTTTATGCCACTCTATCGGCCGATAATCCCATCCTAATCCAGGTATAGTCATTGCACTTTCATGGTATTGAGAGAGACTTAACAATTTCCTAAATTCCATTATTATATATACTACTTAAACACACTACAATCTGAAATTTGGTTGACATTTGCAGGCAATGGCTGTTGGGCTGCTAGTTGTCAGTGTGTTCTGGTTCTTCAAGATTCTAAGGATGATGGTCTACAAATTGTCCAAAAGAAAACCAAAAAAGAACAAGTAGCAGCTTCATTTCAAAGAATATATTGATCGATGTTCATTTTAGTGTTTGGTATATTTGGAATGAAGCTTCATTTAATATTCGAAATGAAGCTTTATTTCAAATATTTATTTGTTCGCTACTCCGATCCGTGTAAATTAATTATTATTTTTTTTAAAAAAAAGGGTTATATTTTAATTTCTAGATCAACCACCTCTCCAATTTCATGTGACCTCTACAAGAACTTTTGTCCACAACTAGTCTTTGTCAAAATCAGAATTGTAGTAAGAGAACTGAGAACTAGGTTCAAGCTTCATTGAACCCATGACAACATAAAGACAGTTAATTACATAAAAATGGGGAAATAAAAGCATAAAATAAACATCATAGATTGTTGACCCTTAATTCTGCGAGCTTAACAAGAGCTTCATGATCAATTTTTCCAAGTTTGGCAATTCCAGCAGCATGTATATTTTTAAGAACTTCCATTCTTGAGTACTCATTTGGCAAAGGAATTTCTATCTTCATGTCTAGTTGCGCCCAGGACTGAGAAGTGCAGGGCCGAGGACAACAGGACTATTTGCTGCCATAATCAATTTCACCTGCATAAGAAACTTATTAGTTGCGTCTCCTTTTCATTTGTTTGTCATACTAATATCAATCCCGGTTCCCTTGATATTGCTAAGCAATGTCATGGATGACCCGATTTAGTTGTCTACTTCTTAAAAAAATATTTTGAAAAAGGAAAATTTTACACTAGTACTCTCGGATTTAGCTGAATATACAATATTATTCGTTGATTCATTTTTAAATGTCAATATTTCAAGAAATCACCAAATTTTATATTGCTAGTGTAGCTGAGTGTGTTTCAAGATTAATTACATGGAATTATTTCAAGTGACATGACATCTGAAATAAATGTTTGGCAACACATCTAAAATAGTGAAATTCAATTGGATGTCATTTTGACATTTATGAATAACTTAATAAAGTAATGGGATTAAATCACTACAAGATTTAGTTCAATTTACGTCAGAATATATGCTATGGATTTAATCTGTCACAAATTGTGCTAGAATTTGCAACAGAAATAAGGGCATCTAAAATTTGGCAATATTTGCGACGGAATTTCCTATTCTGTCGCAAATCTGCGATAAATGCTACATTCAGTTGCAAACTGTTGACCGTCAATTTTTTAAATGCATTACCTGCGACGAATCTACGGCGGATTATTTTCCGTTGTAGGTTTTAAATAAAATGTAATCTCTAAATCAGTCGGGTCATCTAATCTGAAGTCTGAACCATACGCGAAGCGACGACTACACGGAAGGAAATCGCCATTTGCCACCTACAGCGCTCGCCGTCCACCGCCGACCTCCATTTCTTTGCCGCCAGACATTGTCCGCCATCTGCCGACGCACCATCCGCTCAACCGCCAACCCAAGATAAACCCTAATTTTTTTCCCTCAATTGAAGTGTGAAATTTACCTTGATAATTTTTTGTTGTGATTGCATGATAATGATGATTTGATTTACTGTAAATTATTTAAAAAAAAGTATTGTGTATAAAGTTTGTATTATTTTTGCTAAATGTTTTTTGTTAAATTTCATAGTTAAAGTGGATTAAATTTTTTCTAGGAAATTAATCATATGTTTTTTATATGATATTTTTTGTTAATTATATATGCTTATTATAAAAAAATTTGATTTGATTCTAAGAAATTTTTATTTTATCCGATTCTAGGAAATTTTTATTTGATATGATTCTAGGAATTTTTTTAAGTTTTTGTTATTAAAAACTTCTTAACTTATCTTAAAATTTTGGTTATCATAAGTGGTAATTTTTTATACTTTTTAAGTTGTGAATTAATTTGAATTGCTGACATGTTATTTGCATTCTTCAATTTGTGATTCTTTTGTATTAAATAGTGTTGATTGTTTGCTACAATGCCTGGATTTGGTGATCGTGAATGGATGTATACTAAATTTGAATACGAAGGTATAGTTAGTAAAGAAGGGGTTGACAATGTCATGAAGTTTGTGGATATTTGTTCCTCGAATCTCAATGCTGATCGGTCAAAGAATAACATGCGTTGTCCGTGTAATAAGTCATGTAAGAACTTAAAGTTTGGAAGTAATGCAACCATTATAGAGCATATTGTGCGATTTGGTTTCACTCCAAATTATTATGATTGGGTTTGTTACAGTGAAAAGCACGGTGATTATGTTCCCCCAAAACGACAACGAGTTGAACGACATGGGGATACCACACATGTGACAAGAGCCGCAAGAAGGGACAAATATATTGATATGGTGTACGATGATGCACGCCCTTTTGTCGCAAACTTAAATGCCAAGGAAGAACCAAATCCGGAAGATAAAAAATTCTATTAGATGTTAAAAGCTGCGGATAAGGATTTGTGATCAGGGTGCTCTAAGATGTCACAGTTTTCATTAACTGCATGCCTACTCAACATTAAATCTGAACATAATCTCTTTGAAAGGTGTTACTATACGATATAATTTGTCAGTTATTTAAAGATGCTCTTCCAAAGGAAAACACAATGGTTGAAAGCTTCTACCAAACAAAGAAGCTAATGGACGGGCTAAGGAATCGGGCCTTAAAGTCACGGATCAAGAGATTTGGTCTGAACTAAATGGTGGCTTTGATCAAAAGAACAGGATTAAGGGAGTCGAAGATCTTGGCGAACAAATGAAACCCCTTAAACCTAGATATCAGAGCAGAAGAAAGAGCACTAGTGATATTTCAGAGATTGAGTGGCTAAGAGCAGAAAATGAAGTCATAAAGGCGAGATTGGATAAAATTCAGTTCACAGTTACTGAACAAATTTGAAGAATGTATGGTGGAAATATTCCGACACCTTGAGACCTTGACGATGGGATGGGAGGCTTAGGAACTGGTTGTGTGGCATAAATTAGCTATGGCAATTTTGTGTTTTGAGGAATTATGTGTTGTGATTGATAAAGAATTGGATAGAATTGTGTTTTAATGAATTTTGTGTTGTGATTGACAATGAATTTAGTAAAGAATTGTGTTTTAATGAATTCGAATAATCCTGTGTTATTTCACTCCTGTTATATCTATGCTGTAATGTTTCTATGCTGTGTATTGGTGGTAATAAATGAATTGCACGGATCCTGCGTTCTGTATTCTGGTGCATTTGCGACGGAATTTATACGTTGCAGATTCTGTCGCAAGTTACAAATAAAAAATCTATTTTTCCGTCGCAATCTGCGACGGATTGCAGTTTCCATCACAAACTGGGCAGATCCCCTTCCCGTCGCAGGCCTGCGACGAATGTCTTTTTCCGTCGCAAGTTTTGGAAATGTGACAAGTTTTTTGTGAAGGATTTATTCAGTCGCAAGCCTGTCACAATTTCTAATTCTGCTACCAAAATAGAGGATTTGCGACAGAAATGCTCCGTTTCTGTCACGGATTTGGCAAAATTTTGTAGTGAAATTGGGCGTCATTTGGACAATAGTGATTTCTTCAAAAAGTCCAAATCAATTCTATTACTTTATGTTTTTTTCCTACTAATTAGTTTCAGATTCCATGTTAGCAAAAACTGGTTCTATGTAAGTTAAGCCCGAAGCTGATTCAGCCAGACTAATGTAACCAGCATTAGGGCAACGGGGTCTGAAGGCCAAAGCCCCTGGCCGGGGTCGCGTCAAAGCTTGGAATTTTTTTTATTTTGAACATTAATGCTTTATGAAAATCTTTCAAGTTTTCGTGAACGAAGTCCGAAATCTTACATATTCGGATGTACGGATAAACGTCAAAATCGACCAAAATATTGAAAGTAAATATGCGCGAACTCTTGCATCATTAAGCAAAGTTCGCTTCTATTCCTAATGCGTGAGTGTTCACTTCCTTACGTGAAAGTTCATGTCTGATCGACAAGTTTTTCAATTCTATAAAAGAGTCTCGCTAGATATGGTTGAGTACGGATTTCAAGTGATGTTCTTGACTAGCGTCTTATCAGATTTAAGTATTGAAATTAATTTCATCTATTTCCGTACTTCGATTTAGTTTTGGAATTAATTCCCGAAGATTTTAATTATAAATTATTTTAAAAAAATTATAAATCCATTTTTAAAATTTCTAAAAAAAATTAAAAAAATTAATTCGCGCATAATTTAATTATCATATAAAATTTTTTAAAAATTTTTGGCTTTCATAAATCCATTTTTAATAATCCAAAAATAAAAATATCAACTTTTATGAAGCTGTTTTAAATTTGTTTTAAAGAAAATCGGCTTTTATGATGCCGTATTTAATTTGTTGGAAAAAACATATGAAGCAACAGAAATTTAATTAAAAATGTTCATTAAGGAAAAGAAAAATAAATCATTTAAAAAAAGGATTGGAAAAATCCAATTTTAAACAAAAAAATCTAAATAATTTTAAGAAACCGCTTTCTAAACTAATATTAGGCTATTTTGAAAACATAAATATATTAAAAACATCAACAGAAAATTATATTCTCAACATCTCATGTAAACAGGGATTACAATACATTGACGGATACAAACAAAATAATATTTCATCCATCCACAATTAAACTTCACACTTTTTTTTCGTCTGTCCACAAAAAAACTCCGCATTTCTATTTTAGAAAAGTTTTTGTAATTGAAATGTTCATTCTACCCTTATTCCTCTTCTTCCTTTCTTCTTTCTTTTTCTTCTTTCATCTACGATTTTTTTCTTGAGTTTTTTGTTTCTTTCTTTTTCTTCTTTTTCTCTTTCTTTTTCTTTCTTCTTCCGTCATCTTCTTCTTTCTTTATTTTTTTTCTTTCTTCTCCCTTCTTCTAGTCTTCTTCTTCTTCTTTGTTCTTCCGTCTCTTATTCTTTCTTCTTCATTTTTTTCTTTTTCCTCTTCCTTCTTCTTCTATCAACTTGAATAAGAAAAAAAATTACAGATCTATGGGTTGCGTCTTCGCCAAATCTAGATTTGCATCGAATTTTTTTTCAATTTTTTCCAGATCTGTGGTGGGATGTTGATATTCCTCAACGAGAAGTCTGAAAATACATCTTTACGATAAAGGGTGTTGTAAGAGCGAGGGATGCAGGTTTGCGACGGCGGGGATGCGGGTTGCAACGACGAGAGAATGTCGGGGGCTGCGATGCTAGGGGCTTGCGACATCGGGGCACTGCGATGGCGGGGTTTGTGGAAG